AATTCGAATTGGTTCGATTATAGAACGATTGTAAACGTTCCAGAAAATTGATCAAATTGAAAATAGTTCGTTTGACTGGACGTAAAAATTCTCTAATTAGTCTGGAAACGGGGACCTAATTCTTGCATTCTGTGAAAACGGGTAAGATTGGCTATAATGTAATTATCTTAATCTTCACTATCGTTACTTTTTGCCCACAAATAAAAACCCAGAGAAGCGGGTCTAGTATCTTATAAAATTAGGAATATTTTCGAAAAGGATTTTTTATGTAGAAAAATAATTTTTAAAAAATGTTGCCACAAGGTGGCCTACTCGTTATGTGACTGTGTAGTAGACAGTGGGCAAGCGTAACTGGGGAAAAAAGGGGGAGGAAAGATCAGCGAAATACGTTTGTAAGGAAGGATTACTTCGAAAGACTAATATGTAAAATTTAATTTAATTGTTAAATCAATTTCATTAATTAAACGTGATTGTAAGTGTATGGAAGAAATTTTAAAATTGTTTAAACTCATCAAAAAGGCATGTTTTTAAAATAACGACCTTATATGTTTGTTTGTTTATACTGTTGTAACTTGTGAACTTTTATTTTAGTTGGCTGAAGAGGGGCAAGAAATGCCCGAAACGAGAGAAATACGTATCAACTGAATAAAATTTAATTCTGTGATTTGCCAAGTGTCTGTATACATACAATGAATAATTTGTGTTTGAATTTAAAAAATTACTGGCACGATTTCAAAAATACCAGAATAATTTCAGTTTTAAAATGTCTGAATTAAATCAGTTGTTGAGATTTTTCTAAACTTTATAATTAAAAATACAGTATCGGAAAAGGAAAATTATAATCAGAATTGATCAGGAAAGTAGACACGACATTATTCAATATGCAAATATGCAAACAAGAAAAGATCTAAATATTATTTATTATTTTTTACACGTAAATCTAGGTGATACACAGATATTCCAAAAAAAAAACCATTGGCAAATTAATCTTAAAAAAAGTTGCATGCTTGTCAGTGGAGATACAGTCAGTAAAAATATACTATATAACGTTTTTTAAAACTTGATAGAAATTTAGTTTGAAACATCTGTACAGGAAATCCGAACCGATAGAAAACAAAAACGGATATTCCTGAAAACCATTGAGAAATTTAACGTACTAACATTTATTTAGATAGGAAACAAACATTTAAAATACAAGTATAATAGTGTGATTTGTTAAATATTTGTATCTTTTCTACTGATATGTTATCCTATTTTTTAGAGAATGAGACTAAATCAAAGTTTATAGTTGCATTCCATGTCGAAATATTGCGAATTAAGATACTACTTTTTCTTCGTATGATTTTTTCAAAACTTTTAGAATAAACAGTTATAAATAACGGAAAATATGAAGCACATTTTAACATTTTGGACTGAATATTCACCAATTTAAATTTGTTATCCATTTTCAATTATCGTTTATTTCTTATCGATTTTACTAGTGTATAGTTGAGAATCTAATACGTTTACTTTGGCAAAAATATTAAAATTTTACATTAAAAGGAACAATTTTCATTACGAAATCAAAGTACATGTATAAGAGCAAATGGTGTAATGTGAAAAAAATCTACGGTTACAGTTATACGTTAACTAAAAGCAAAAGAATTCAAAAAAGACTGCTTATTCGTTAGTGTTAACATAAAAATTGCGCATCACTTCCCAGTTAAGTAAATGCAAAAAATAAGGAAGGATCCTACAAATCCAATAAACTAACAAGTTACACTTACAAGTTGCTCTGCATTGTATGAGCATAGTATCAATAGAAGGGAAAGTAAACTGTTTTATGGAAATATATTTAAACTATATTTTATAATTTCCTCACAATATTCAAAATTTATGCCATTTTCATACCCGGATGACAAATATATTGTTTACGAANATACGTATCAACTGAATAAAATTTAATTCTGTGATTTGCCAAGTGTCTGTATACATACAATGAATAATTTGTGTTTGAATTTAAAAAATTACTGGCACGATTTCAAAAATACCAGAATAATTTCAGTTTTAAAATGTCTGAATTAAATCAGTTGTTGAGATTTTTCTAAACTTTATAATTAAAAATACAGTATCGGAAAAGGAAAATTATAATCAGAATTGATCAGGAAAGTAGACACGACATTATTCAATATGCAAATATGCAAACAAGAAAAGATCTAAATATTATTTATTATTTTTTTACACGTAAATCTAGGTGATACACAGATATTCCAAAAAAAAAAACGATTGGCAAATTAATCTTAAAAAAAGTTGCATGCTTGTCAGTGGAGATACAGTCAGTAAAAATATACTATATAACGTTTTTTAAAACTTGATAGAAATTTAGTTTGAAACATCTGTACAGGAAATCCGAACCGATAGAAAACAAAAACGGATATTCCTGAAAACCATTGAGAAATTTAACGTACTAACATTTATTTAGATAGGAAACAAACATTTAAAATACAAGTATAATAGTGTGATTTGTTAAATATTTGTATCTTTTCTACTGATATGTTATCCTATTTTTTAGAGAATGAGACTAAATCAAAGTTTATAGTTGCATTCCATGTCGAAATATTGCGAATTAAGATACTACTTTTTCTTCGTATGATTTTTTCAAAACTTTTAGAATAAACAGTTATAAATAACGGAAAATATGAAGCACATTTTAACATTTTGGACTGAATATTCACCAATTTAAATTTGTTATCCATTTTCAATTATCGTTTATTTCTTATCGATTTTACTAGTGTATAGTTGAGAATCTAATACGTTTACTTTGGCAAAAATATTAAAATTTTACATTAAAAGGAACAATTTTCATTACGAAATCAAAGTACATGTATAAGAGCAAATGGTGTAATGTGAAAAAAATCTACGGTTACAGTTATACGTTAACTAAAAGCAAAAGAATTCAAAAAAGACTGCTTATTCGTTAGTGTTAACATAAAAATTGCGCATCACTTCCCAGTTAAGTAAATGCAAAAAATAAGGAAGGATCCTACAAATCCAATAAACTAACAAGTTACACTTACAAGTTGCTCTGCATTGTATGAGCATAGTATCAATAGAAGGGAAAGTAAACTGTTTTATGGAAATATATTTAAACTATATTTTATAATTTCCTCACAATATTCAAAATTTATGCCATTTTCATACCCGGATGACAAATATATTGTTTACGAATATTCCAGAAATTTTACAATCGACAGATGACTTGGCACATACTTGTGGAAATGTGCCAAGTAGTGTTAGTTAACAAACGAAAGTATGCAAGTCATGCGTTGATTAGGAACATTTTGATTTAAAATTTAATTATTATTCTTATATTGTAGTAAAAAAGAACTAGAATCTATACTTTTTATAGATTGGATATGTCAATTATTTTGTAATGATTTTTCGATAAAATTATTTTGGACAACTAGAAATAGCATAATAAAATTACATTCGATACGTCATCGTTAATTATCTGCGCCAATATTTAATAATTTGATTAAGTATGCACGGTTTGCTTCTGGACTCATACAACACCTTCCTACCCACGCTCGAGTCTGACTCGAGCAAGTGCCATAGCGTTACAAAAATCCGGGCGTGAGGACCCCCGAGAAATTTTTTTTTTTCAATTTTTGGAATGTTTTTTTAGGTCCAAATTTTTACAAAATTTTTTCCCGCGCGAAAAAATTTTATCATGATTTTAATTTACCTTTAATGACGCACGATTCACGCTTTATTGCTTTTTAATTGTTTTTTAATGGGATTTTTTTAATCAAATTTAATTAATCGTTCTAAAGTTGTAGTGCACGGATTTGACTTCGGTAAAGTTATTTAAAGCTAGTTTCTGATATCAAAAACTACCTCCAATAGTTTTTAATTTTTTTAATTAATAGATTTTATTATATATAAGTTTAATTAAGTCGGGGGGTCGGAAATCGCAATAAAAATTTTAATTTTTTAAAAATATTTAAAAATATAGGTCTAGCTAGTATTCAACCTACTTTANTGGAGCTGGAATCGAGAAAAAGGAACGAAAACTAATCTTTATGTAACAAGGAATTATAATTATAAAAAAAACAATTTTTAAAGCAAAGGTTTAATCAATTTTTGTAGCTGATATAGGCCTAATAATTATTTAAATAGATAATTAAATATACAGTAAATAGAAAAATTATTGAACTAGATTTATAACCCATACACATATATTTTGTGTTTTTTAGATCGATCTTAGTAAGATAAAAATCTATTATATGGACGAAGCGGGTCACCCGTTCTGCACCCGAGTCACTTCTGAAATGAAACAGGCTCAAATGAAGGTAAAACTGTAACAAAATATAAACATTGGTATACTGTAACAAAATATAAATATTTTCCTAAAATTATTATTTTCTTTGAATTATGTGCCTTATTTCGTAAAAGCTACTAGAATAATAATAATAATAAACATATTTTAAATTCCATCAGAAGTTAGGAATTTACAGTCAAATCTCGATATAGCACTCTTTTAAATAGTACCCTCGAGGTACCGAAGAATACGAGTGAATGGATGTTGCCCATAAATCTATAGATTGTCAAATATATGATTTTGCATTGCAAACGACATTGTTATTGCGAAATCGTACGACTTTCAAACTGGAACTCGCGTATAGTCTTCATTCTCATTGAGGTACTTCAGTTTCCTTTAGTACCAGCCCGATTCACTGACACTATATCGAGTTTTGACTATTTGTTGTTTTTTAATTTATAGAAATATTAATAATGGGTTCATCATCCTCATATAAATTCTTTGAGCAATATGTTCATAATGTAGATAACAAAACTCTTAGGAAATTAGGATAAAATTTACTGCTTTACATGACTAACTTACATAATTTTGTAGTAAATAAATTTACATTACTATTAATTTTTAAATTTTTATATTTTTTTAAAAAATAGGTTATAAATTATTTCGAAGAAACTTACAACATTAAAGCTCAAAAACTTTCCTTAAAGCAAATGTATTACTCTGCGGATATATTTTTGGCAAACATGGCGACTGTTCCTGCGAAAAAATTCACAACTCTTATGTCAGGAAATGGCAAAGACATAAACATTTACTTCGAACTAATCAAATGGTGCTTGAGAGTATCTAAACACACGCTGCCGTGCCTAATCTACGCTATCGTTGAAAAAGTAAACTCCAGTGTGCCTAAAGAAAAGCGTAATCGATTTTTAGCCATGACCGAAGAACTTAAGAAAACATTGGAAGATTTGCTGGGCGAAGACGGGATATTTCTCTATCCTCCCCACCCGGAAACGGCCATTTATATTCATCAACCAGTTTTCAAGAGTCATAATTTTGTTTACGCGGCCATTTTTAACGCTGTCGGTCTTCCGGTAACCTCGTGTCCTTTAGGATTGAATTCTAGAGGGTTGCCATTAGGAGTACAAATTGTCGGAAGTCTCAACAACGATCTTTTGACCATAACCGTGGCAGAAGAATTAGAAAAAGTTTTCGGTGGATGGAGAAATCCGAATTTGTAGCGTTCGAATAATTCAAAGAATTATCGTGAAATTTTAGAAATTAAATGAATAGAAAAATTTTCTATTTCGTGATAATCGTTGCTATAAATGAATAAGAAAGAACGAAAGCAATACTAATAGTATAATTTGTTTGTATTATTTTGAAAATATTTCATATAGAAATGTTAACTCTATAAATATTTTGTACTTTTGTTACATTATTTGCATAATAAAACGGATAATATGTTGTACGTTATTCTATGTGTCCGTTTGTAATCTTCAGATTCAAACTTCTAATGTTAGTGAGAGAACTTTATTAAATTTATCGGCATCCAAATAGAAAATGCATTCGATTAAAACTTGCATTTGAGAAATACACCGCAATATACATTACCGCCCTAAAAGTTTTTCAGAGATAGCAACATCTTCGTTCGATCCTTTTTCATTAGTATTCATTTTAGGAGCTTGTAATAATCATCACTTCTGTTACACAATTAACAGAAGTTTAAAATATTTGTATTCGTTTTCTGGAGCAATGCTCTATGTACTGTACATTTTAAAATATTTATCGCGAGCTTCTCGTCAGCTGTTCTATAGACGGCAGTGAGGAATATATCCTATAAATTAAGGTCCGTGTATGTAAAACTTTTGTAATGTAGGTGACATATAATAAACCACACGATATATGTTTACCAAACCCTCAAACCAAAGATATTACCCTCAAACTTATTTCCTCGACATTGCTTTCTGGAGCACTTATTCTTATAATATCATATTGGTGGCGAGACAATTTATCATCCACCAAAGCAACTAGGGCATCTTCACCTGACATTAGCTGTGATTGCTTTGGACTTCCTGTTGTTATCTCTCTCAGAATGTTTCGGGCTTGTGTTTGTCCTTCGACTCTTAAGCACATTTGTGTGGTATATGTTAATAAAGGCATAGGAGTAGAATCTCTTAAGGCTTTTGTTTTTAATTGTTTTGTTTCCTCAGAACATAATTCAAATAAAACATCTGGGCGACCACGTTTATTCTCTATAAGTCGAAAGAAAGAAATCGATGATGCAGCCATTCCTTGTTGTTTTTCTGAAAATTTTAATCGATTCTGCTTGCTTCATCCAACGAGATAATCCAGTAAATGCGACAGTTTTCTCTTTCAATCTTTAAAATAATTTTTACCAGAGTCATGCTGTAGATTTTCTCAGTATAATGCAAGTCTTCGAAATGCCGCCCCTTAAATGTTTTTAATGCCACCTGATGCGGCCGCCTGCATCATAGCACGGCACGGCCCTGCTTTTCACGCACATATTGAATTGTTGAAAAATTACTGCTCAAACCAACGAGCTAGAATATACTACATAGAATGGTTGTGACCGTGATTACAGCGTTCTTGGTAGCAACGACAAGTACTATCGACCGCCATTTTATTTTAAGTCTGTACTTCGTGTCGGGCAGAATTGTCACTTTATTTAGAATCTATTTTTTTTTTTTCATTTAAATCTAGATTGTTTCATCTCGAATTTAGCTATTTTCTACATTTTATGTCTTCAAGGACTTTACTCTCAGCCAAATTATTGTTTATCGTGTACGCAATCAGTCTGATCCGTACCATACTCGGTAAGTTGTTGATTTTTTTGGACTGTTTTTTTTCTTTTGAAATTTATGAGTAGTGTTTTCGTGTTTTTATTTTAGTTATAGTTTGTTTGTGAAAATTTTTATTTCAACTTGTAAAAATATTTACAATGAAAAACAGCCTCATACATAGGCCTACATTCATACATATCCACGGATTTTTTTTTTTTTTTACTTTTTTGTGTTTAGGGGTCTCAAAACGTGGAGATTTATTTGCAAAACACTCGGATTGTCAAATTTGACGATTCCAATACTTTCCCTTGTTGTGTATACCTAACAGCCGAGAAAATAAAAGGGAAATGTTAGTGTTTTGGCGTCTATTTCCTTTAATATCTCAGGATGGGGCATTGATTAAAGAACGATATTTGGCACGGTAAGTTTTGTATAAGGAGCATTGGTGCTAATAAATTTTGGAATGCGGGAGCCGAGGGAATGGGAAGGTAGATGGGATCACGTATCATATTTCGAGTATGGCTTGACTTAATGAAAATTTTACACGTTATTGGTATTTACAATATTTTTAAAATCACAGTGAAAGTTGTTTTTAATAATTAATAATATAAAAATTATTCTTTAATAACATCTAGTAATGGATAGCGCATGAGACTCAACTTTGAGCTGGTATCGTAGTTTTTTAAAGCTTAAATATGTTTTTAAATGGAGATTTTTTTAATCATAATTCAACAAAATTATTCCTTTTAAACTTTTATTATTATATAACTTTATGTTCTAGTATAAAGAAAATTATTGGACTTCCTAATGGTCTCCTTAAGCTCCTGTTCCAGCGCCAGGAAAATTGAGCAAGAGCTCTTGCCAGCTTTTTTATGTATAATAATTTAATAAAGCAAAATAATTTTTAAAACTTTTATATAGATCTATCAATAATCATAAAATTTACATATTTAATAATAATTTATTAACGTGAATTAATCGATAATAACTCAATGTATTTTGTTTTTATTAGTTAAAGTCGGTGGATGTTATAAAAGCGTATATTACGAGGATTCGAGAAGTAAATCCTACTTTAAATATAATTTCGGACGAAAGGTTTAAGGATGCTCTACAAGATGCAGAAAAAGCGGACCAATTCATCGAATCAGAGAAAAATTCTGTGAAAGTATTAGAAGATTTATATCCATATTTAGGAGTTCCGTTTACTACTAAGGAATCGATGTCAGTTCAAGGTATTTTATTTTTATTTTTAGTAAACAAATACATTTATAATTCAAAAAGTCAAACCAAATTAGACTTAAATCATTCTTCGGTTATTAGGCCACGGGACGTATTTGAAAAATTATATAATGGACAAAGTACAATATATATAATAACATAAGAAAAACTGTTCTGCATTTTACAATCCTTCCATTTGAACTTTAAACAGAAAATAGAGAATGTAATTAGAAATTGAGATTCAAACAATTTCTTTTAAATGTACATATTTATATAACGGATATACACTGTATATTTACATATAATTCGATCCTATTATTTAATTAATATTAACAATAACAATATTATATACATAAACTTGATACATTGAACTTTTCTTTACAGACAACTTACTTCTTATTTTTTTATAAAATTCAGTCAACAGAAATAATGACAACAATAAAATTTTTATGTATTTAATTTCTTAATTGAGAAAATTTAGAACGAATATTAGAATTCCGTTTTATATCTCAATGTGACTTTGGGAAAGTCAATGCGTGTAATGAAATAGGAAGAGTAACAAGAGTAACCGAGCAATCAGATATAAAGAAACACGATTCCCACGTCGATGATTTCCCAATAAGGTCATCGTCCAGCAGCAATGTTTTGTAATTTAATACTGTTTTATTCAATATATCACACAATATTATAATATTTATTTTGTTTACATTGAATTTCGTGATGTCTCGTGCACAATATATTCCACTCCCCATTACAAGAATGAGAATGACAAAACAATAACAAAGCAAAAAAAATTACTTGGAATATTAAAGACATTAATATATAATACAAATATTGTTGTGATTTATACTGCGAATTAACACAGTTCTTGTAAACTATATTTAAATATCCACATAAAAAATACATATTCGTAAAATGCAGGATATTTGAGATATTTTAAAATTTCTCTGAAACATCTGATGCAAGACTAAAATGTAAGACATGTTCAGGTAAAAGACGTCTTAAACACTCTTATTAAGTAAGTAATTTCTTAAAATAACAATATTTGATATCTCTCTTCAGGAGCGGATCTAGGTTTTTCGGGGCCTAGGACTTACTGAAGTCCAATGGGCCCCATTTTCTGTTAATACAAATAATACTATAAATTATCATTATTATTATATTATTATCAGTGCTAAGATTTTTATGAATATTCTAATAAGAGATTACAGTTACAAAATCAGCATCGTTGCACAATTACAGTATATTTATACAGTCTCTCAGTATCATTTTAAAGTTTCGCAATTTGGTACAGTTATTAATAACTCTGAACTTCTAGATCCTTGGTTCTATCGCGAAATTCCCAAAAGAGTGATACAAAATTTCAAAAAATAATTAAAAATATTAATCGTTTCTCTACTTTTTAATGTTATTTGCATATTTTTATATAAAAAGCTGCAACTATTTAAAATTACTTATCGTTAAGAGCCTATCTGATTCGTTGGCGTGCCATTCGCTCGAATAGATCCAGAACCAGTCATCTAGGTTTAAGTAAAATTTTTGAACTTGATTAAGTAAGCATGTGTAGTCAGGTGTCAAATTACTCCAAAATTGAATAAAAATAAAATATTTAACAAGGACTTTAATCTGGAATGGAATTAAAAATAACTTTTCCATCAAAAAGCTAAAAGAAACCATAAAACGTCAAATATTTACTTTTTAATGACCCAGATAAGTTAACTGTTTTATTTCACACAAGCACAATATTTGACAAATTGTCGTAGTATATTTATAAGGAAACGTATTATCAAATAATTTTCAGTTTAACTGGAGCAAATTCCAATCTCAAATTTCTCTGTAACCTTCGGATCATTGTTAGTGTTATGGGATAATGCAAAGCGGTTCAAATGTCAGTTAATATTTCTGTTGTCGGATACATTAGTGAAAATATGAATTGTAAACTGTGGTTTTTTTGTCAGTTAATCATCGGAAAAACTAAATTCAAACTAATCAAATTTAACTATAACGTAAACTGTATCGTGTGTACCATCAATTTTGTAGAGTTCTAACCTCGGCTATCGTATAGGCTTACTGATATTTTTTAAAAATTCAATGCAAGTTTTCTAAAATTTTAAAATATTTTATGAATAATTTTCCAGATATAATTAATTATTTAATAGTAATTAAAGAATAACTAACTAGTTATCATTTTCATCTGTTTCGTCTCTTCTTACCGTTCTCCAGGCATGAAAGAACCTTTTTAATCACACCCATTGTGGATTGGTTAAGCCACAGGACCAGGTTGGGTTCGGACCTCGATATTTACAGAATTATGAAAAATTCCTAAAGTTTCTGACCTCAGAAACTAAAATTACAATGTTTTAAATGTTTTGTGTATTGGTTTATGCGCTGTTATGACCTAAGCAAGCGGTTTTGTGATCAGGAGTAAACGTTTTTCTTCTTTTTATTCTGCATTATGATAATTAATAGTTGTTTTGAAATAACTAGATTTTTGTAATAGTTTAAAATTTACTTCAAATAAATTATTATTATTATTTTTTTAATTTTTAGGAATGCTGAATACCGCAGGCTTGTACAGTTCTAAGGGCAGAAGAGCATCGAAAGATTCCGACACCGTAGTACTTATGAAAAAAGCTGGAGGAATTCCGCTGGCTGTTACCAACGTGCCAGAGTTAACTATGTGGTGGGAAACATACAATAATGTGTACGGCAAATCTAGAAATCCGTACGATCCTAGAAGAATTGTCGGTGGAAGCAGCGGTAAGAATATTCACCGATTTGTAGTAAATTCTTTATTACATTTGTGTTAAAGTAATTCGAAACTGTTACATTTAGGAGGAGAAGGAGCTCTTTTAGGTGCTGGTGGTTCAGTAATTGGCATTGGTTCGGATGTAGGAGGTAGTATTCGTATACCATCGTTTGTGAATGGCATATTTGGTCTTAAGCCAAGCAAAGGTAAGAATAGTTCTTATAGTTAAAAAATACGCATTAAGATTATATTTATATTTTTTTTTATAAACATTTATTAATATATTTTTATTATTAGGTATCGTTTCTAACATAGGACAAGTACCGGACAACGGTCATCTATATGATGATTTTCTCTCAACGGGACCAATGTGTCGTTACGCTACGGATTTGTTACCTATGTTAAAAGTATTGGCCGACAAAAATGTATCCAAACTTAGACTAGATAGGAAGGTTAGTTACGTTTTTAAAAGACAATAATCAAATAATTTATCAGTCATGGACCATAACACTATATACCCATTTTTATGGTTCCGACTCACTTTTCCAGAAGCTGTTTTCCATAGTCTTAGTACTGTACTGTAAATAAAGGTTTTACTTCTAAAACGAATTTCAAGTATATAACATCACACATTTGAAAAAAAAGCATATATTATATTCATACTTATTATTTGTTTTAAAACATTTTAAAGTTCAAAAGCCAATGAAGACAAAGTTCTTTGCCAGTAAGAATTGTCCTTTTTCATACCACAGGAACACAAAATCATTTCTCGACCTTTCAAGGTCCCCTTTGAAAAATGTAAAAATATTGGTGGGGGTCATTTTTTGATGATCGTTACACTTTTTCTCTGTTATATATGTAGTAGCCAGCCAGGAAAGTAAAATTGTTAAGTCATGTGTCATCAGTTAGAGTTTAAAAATTATAGTTTGTATAGCAAAAAAACTAAAATAAAAAAGTTACTAAAGTATATTCATAATTAAAAGGAAATAATTAAATAAAAAAGGAAAAATTTTTCATTTAAATATTAAATTCAGTCTTCATAAAAATCATCTTTTATACAATAGATTCGGGACAATTTCGAGACAATTTCGGGAATTTAGTCAGACAATATGGCGACTCAATACGTGCGGTAAACTGATGTGATGAGAGTTGTGACAGAAACTGTTGTATATATGCGAGATATGTATAAATATTGGAGCTGGAATCGAGAAAAAGGAACGAAAACTAATCTTTATGTAACAAGGAATTATAATTATAAAAAAAAACAATTTTTAAAGCAAAGGTTTAATCAATTTTTGTAGCTGATATAGGCCTAATAATTATTTAAATAGATAATTAAATATATAGTAAATAGAAAAATTATTGAACTAGATTTATAACCCATACACATATATTTTGTTTTTTTTAGATCGATCTTAGTAAGATAAAAATCTATTATATGGACGAAGCGGGTCACCCGTTCTGCACCCGAGTCACTTCTGAAATGAAACAGGCTCAAATGAAGGTAAAACTGTAACAAAATATAAACATTGGTATACTGTAACAAAATATAAATATTTTCCTAAAATTATTATTTTCTTTGAATTATGTGCCTTATTTCGTAAAAGCTACTAGAATAATAATAATAATAAACATATTTTAAATTCCATCAGAAGTTAGGAATTTACAGTCAAATCTCGATATAGCACTCTTTTAAATAGTACCCTCGAGGTACCGAAGAATACGAGTGAATGGATGTTGCCCATAAATCTATAGATTGTCAAATATATGATTTTGCATTGCAAACGACATTGTTATTGCGAAATCGTACGACTTTCAAANCAAATATATTGTTTACGAATATTCCAGAAATTTTACAATCGACAGATGACTTGGCACATACTTGTGGAAATGTGCCAAGTAGTGTTAGTTAACAAACGAAAGTATGCAAGTCATGCGTTGATTAGGAACATTTTGATTTAAAATTTAATTATTATTCTTATATTGTAGTAAAAAAGAACTAGAATCTATACTTTTTATAGATTGGATATGTCAATTATTTTGTAATGATTTTTCGATAAAATTATTTTGGACAACTAGAAATAGCATAATAAAATTACATTCGATACGTCATCGTTAATTATCTGCGCCAATATTTAATAATTTGATTAAGTATGCACGATTTGCTTCTGGACTCATACAACACCTTCCTACCCACGCTCGAGTCTGACTCGAGCAAGTGCCATAGCGTTACAAAAATCCGGGCGTGAGGACCCCCGAGAAATTTTTTTTTTCAATTTTTGGAATGTTTTTTTAGGTCCAAATTTTTACAAAATTTTTTCCCGCGCGAAAAAATTTTATCATGATTTTAATTTACCTTTAATGACGCACGATTCACGCTTTATTGCTTTTTAATTGTTTTTTAATGGGATTTTTTTAATCAAATTTAATTAATCGTTCTAAAGTTGTAGTGCACGGATTTGACTTCGGTAAAGTTATTTAAAGCTAGTTTCTGATATCAAAAACTACCTCCAATAGTTTTTAATTTTTTTAATTAATAGATTTTATTATATATAAGTTTAATTAAGTCGGGGGGTCGGAAATCGCAATAAAAATTTTAATTTTTTAAAAATATTTAAAAATATAGGTCTAGCTAGTATTTACCCTGCTTTAAACCTTTCTCCTCCCGAGACGTCTATGAGAATGCCCCGGGAAATACGACTCCAGCTGTTCTCAAGGTCATCCAGCTGTGTAAACAATGACTCATCGGTGTCAAATTTCGCGGAAAGGCGAGACAAAGGAAGTTAAACTTTGAAGCTTTTTCTTCAAAATTAACGCATTTCTTTCGTTTTTTTTTTTAGTTTTAAGTATTTTTTATGCTTAATTAAAAATTCTAAAAAAATGGGCGGCTCAAAAGGGGTTAATGATTATTACACAGTCTGCATTTTTAAATAATGGTTCCTAAAATAGAAAGTAATCTAGAAAACATTATAAGAGCAAGTTATCAAGTTATTGTAAGAGGCTTTTTACAGACTGGAAAACTCTACATAGTAGAAAGAGATTTGTGGCATCTCCGAAACACATTGGAGAGAGAATAGTCATTTTGATACAATTGACCACACGATATATGTTTCAGGTACGACCAAAAATAGAAGAAATGGAGTGGCCTTTGTTATCGACAAATGCCCAACAAAATTTGTGGAAGACTATGAACCTATCAACGACCGCATAATCAAAATTACAATATCTTCCAGGCCAGTAAAACTTCATATTATTCAGGTTTATATGCCTACTTCGGCTGCTTTGGACACAGTGTACACACAAATTGAAAATATCATCACAGAAATACCACAGAAGGACTTATTGATAATAATGGGAGATTTTAATGCTAAGATAGGCAATACAGAAAATGACGATAATCTACGGTGCATTATAGGAAAATTTGGACTGGACACCAGAAATGAGAGAGGAAATAGACTCCTTCAGTTTGCAATAAAGAACAGTTTTTCAATAACTAATACCGTGTTCAAACACCATTATCGGCGTCTTTCTACTTGGACCTCACCAACAGGTGAATATAAAAACCAAATTGATTATGTCTTAATAAGAACAAGATGGAGATCATCAGTTAATAATGTCAGAGCAAGACCCGGAGCATTCTGCAACTCTGATCATAAGCTACTAAAAGCGGAAGTAACATTAAAACTCCATACAACAAAAAAATCAAAGATCAACCCAAGACTTGAGACTACAGCTAGTTCAATCTTACAACAGACTCTCCGAAATTTAGACCCTCCATTCTTTACAAATAACCCATATGATTTATGGACACAAACAAAAAGTTGGATTTTAACTGGAGTACAACAATGCACCACACAACATCGACCACAGAAAAAGAAACATTGGTTGAGAAATAGTACCCTTGAATTAATAGATGAAAGGGAAAAAAATACTAACTTCAGATAGCGTTACAGATGAAAAGAAGAAAGAGCTAGATAAAAGAATCAAAAAGACTTATAAGAAAGTCAAAAATGATTATTTCGACAGTATATGCAGTGAAATTGAAGTCCATGCAATTAATAATCAGATTCATGAACTTTACGATAAAGTTAGATATCTAGCAAGAGAGTCCAAACCACGCACACAAATAATTAAGAATGATAAGGATAAAATCATAACCGATGCGGAGGGGATTGCGGGTGTCTGAGGAAGTATTGTGAGAAATTTTATAAAGACACTGGTCAAAAAGAAATGGTAATAATCAACTTCAAAATGGATGAACAAGAGAAGTTGAACCATCTATTTTTAAATCAGAGGTAGAAAAAGCCATAAATACATTAAGAAATCACAAAGCTCCGGGACCTGACAACATAACCTCCGAAATTTTAAAAGCAATGGAAAACTGGGTGTTAATATATTTCATAAAATCTGCTCCTTAATTATGAAATCTGAGAGATGGTCAGAGGAATTTATTCCGATTTATAAAAAAGGTGCACCAACAGATAAGTCTACCGCTTCTTTTGGAAAATTTTGCCATTTATTCTTTTGAAATCTTCGCTTGCTGGTTGTTTCAGGATCCGAACACAATTAACAGAAGTTTAAAATATTTGTATTCGTTTTCTGGAGCAATGTTCTATGTACTGTACATTTTAAAATATTTATCGCGAGCTTCTCGTCAGCTGTTCTATAGACGGCAGTGAGGAATATATCCTATAAATTAAGGTCCGTGTATGTAAAACTTTTGTAATGTAGGTGACATATAATAAACCACACGATATATGTTTACCAAACCCTCAAACCAAAGATATTACCCTCAAACTTATTTCCTCGACATTGCTTTCTGGAGCACTTATTCTTATAATATCATATTGGTGGCGAGACAATTTATCATCCACCAAAGCAACTAGGGCATCTTCACCTGACATTAGCTGTGATTGCTTTGGACTTCCTGTTGTTATCTCTCTCAGAATGTTTCGGGCTTGTGTTTGTCCTTCGACTCTTAAGCACATTTGTGTGGTATATGTTAATAAAGGCATAGGAGTAGAATCTCTTAAGGCTTTTGTTTTTAATTGTTTTGTTTCCTCAGAACATAATTCAAATAAAACATCTGGGCGACCACGTTTATTCTCTATAAGTCGAAAGAAAGAAATCGATGATGCAGCCATTCCTTGTTGTTTTTCTGAAAATTTTAATCGATTCTGCTTGCTTCATCCAACGAGATAATCCAGTAAATGCGACAGTTTTCTCTTTCAATCTTTAAAATAATTTTTACCAGAGTCATGCTGTAGATTTTCTCAGTATAATGCAAGTCTTCGAAATGCCGCCCCTTAAATGTTTTTAATGCCACCTGATGCGGCCGCCTGCATCATAGCACGGCACGGCCCTGCTTTTCACGCACATATTGAATTGTTGAAAAATTACTGCTCAAACCAACGAGCTAGAATATACTACATAGAATGGTTGTGACCGTGATTACAGCGTTCTTGGTAGCAACGACAAGTACTATCGACCGCCATTTTATTTTAAGTCTGTACTTCGTGTCGGGCAGAATTGTCACTTTATTTAGAATCTATTTTTTTTTTTTCATTTAAATCTAGATTGTTTCATCTCGAATTTAGCTATTTTCTACATTTTATGTCTTCAAGGACTTTACTCTCAGCCAAATTATTGTTTATCGTGTACGCAATCAGTCTGATCCGTACCATACTCGGTAAGTTGTTGATTTTTTTGGACTGTTTTTTTTCTTTTGAAATTTATGAGTAGTGTTTTCGTGTTTTTATTTTAGTTATAGTTTGTTTGTGAAAATTTTTATTTCAACTTGTAAAAATATTTACAATGAAAAACAGCCTCATACATAGGCCTACATTCATACATATCCACGGATTTTTTTTTTTTTTTACTTTTTTGTGTTTAGGGGTCTCAAAACGTGGAGATTTATTTGCAAAACACTCGGATTGTCAAATTTGACGATTCCAATACTTTCCCTTGTTGTGTATACCTAACAGCCGAGAAAATAAAAGGGAAATGTTAGTGTTTTGGCGTCTATTTCCTTTAATATCTCAGGATGGGGCATTGATTAAAGAACGATATTTGGCACGGTAAGTTTTGTATAAGGAGCATTGGTGCTAATAAATTTTGGAATGCGGGAGCCGAGGGAATGGGGAGGTAGAGGGGATTACGTATCATATTTCGAGTATGGCTTGACTTAATGAAAATTTTACACGTTATTGGTATTCACAATATTTTTAAAATCACAGTGAAAGTTGTTTTTAATAATTAATATTATAAAAATTATTCTTTAATAACATCTAGTAATGGATAGCGCAAAGACTCAATTTTTCAACTTTGAGCTGGTGTCGTAGTTTTTTAAAGCTTAAATATGTTTTTAAATGGAGATTTTTTTAATCATAATTCAACAAAATTACTCCTTTTAAACTTTTATTATTATATAACTTTATGTTCTAGTATAAAGAAAATTATTGGACTTCCTAATGGTCTCCTTAAGCTCCTGTTCCAGCGCCAGGAAAATTGAGCAAGAGCTCTTGCCAGCTTTTTTATGTATAATAATTTAATAAAGCAAAATAATTTTTAAAACTTTTATATAGATCTATCAATAATCATAAAATTTACATATTTAATAATAATTTATTAACGTGAATTAATCGATAATAACTCAATGTATTTTGTTTTTATTAGTTAAAGTCGGTGGATGTTATAAAAGCGTATATTACGAGGATTCGAGAAGTAAATCCTACTTTAAATATAATTTCGGACGAAAGGTTTAAGGATGCTCTACAAGATGCAGAAAAAGCGGACCAATTCATCGAATCAGAGAAAAATTCTGTGAAAGTATTAGAAGATTTATATCCATATTTAGGAGTTCCATTTACTACTAAGGAATCGATGTCAGTTCAAGGTATTTTATTTTTATTTTTAGTAAACAAATACATTTATAATTCAAAAAGTCAAACCAAATTAGACTTAAATCATTCTTCGGTTATTAGGCCACGGGACGTATTTGAAAAATTATATAATGGACAAAGTACAATATATATAATAACATAAGAAAAACTGTTCTGCATTTTACAATCCTTCCATTTGAACTTTAAACAGAAAATAGAGAATGTAATTAGAAATTGAGATTCAAACAATTTCTTTTAAATGTACATATTTATATAACGGATATACACTGTATATTTACATATAATTCGATCCTATTATTTAATTAATATTAACAATAACAATATTATATACATAAACTTGATACATTGAACTTTTCTTTACAGACAACTTACTTCTTATTTTTTTATAAAATTCAGTCAACAGAAATAATGACAACAATAAAATTTTTATGTATTTAATTTCTTAATTGAGAAAATTTAGAACGAATATTAGAATTCCGTTTTATATCTCAATGTGACTTTGGGAAAGTCAATGCGTGTAATGAAATAGGAAGAGTAACAAGAGTAACCGAGCAATCAGATATAAAGAAACACGATTCCCACGTCGATGATTTCCCAATAAGGTCATCGTCCAGCAGCAATGTTTTGTAATTTAATACTGTTTTATTCAATATATCACACAATATTATAATATTTATTTTGTTTACATTGAATTTCGTGATGTCTCGTGCACAATATATTCCACTCCCCATTACAAGAATGAGAATGACAAAACAATAACAAAGCAAAAAAAATTACTTGGAATATTAAAGACATTAATATATAATACAAATATTGTTGTGATTTATACTCCGAATTAACACAGTTGTTGTAAACTATATTTAAATATCCACATAAAAAATACATATTCGTAAAATGCAGGATATTTGAGATATTTTAAAATTTCTCTGAAACATCTGATGCAAGACTAAAATGTAAGACATGTTCAGGTAAAAGACGTCTTAAACACTCTTATTAAGTAAGTAATTTCTTAAAATAACAATATTTGATATCTCTCTTCAGGAGCGGATCTAGGTTTTTCGGGGCCTAGGACTTACTGAAGTCCAATGGGCCCCATTTTCTGTTAATACAAATAATACTATAAATTATCATTATTATTATATTATTATCAGTGCTAAGATTTTTATGAATATTCTAATAAGAGATTACAGTTACAAAATCAACATCGTTGCACAATTACAGTATATTTATACAGTCTCTCAGTATCATTTTAAAGTTTCGCAATTTGGTACAGTTATTAATAACTCTGAACTTCTAGATCCTTGGTTCTATCGCGAAATTCCCAAAAGAGTGATACAAAATTTCAAAAAATAATTAAAAATATTAATCGTTTCTCTACTTTTTAATGTTATTTGCATATTTTTATATAAAAAGCTGCAACTATTTAAAATTACTTATTGTTAAGAGCCTATCTGATTCGTTGGCGTGCCATTCGCTCGAATAGATCCAGAACCAGTCATCTAGGTTTAAGTAAAATTTTTGAACTTGATTAAGTAAGCATGTGTAGTCAGGTGTCAAATTACTCCAAAATTGAATAAAAATAAAATATTTAACAAGGACTTTAATCTGGAATGGAATTAAAAATAACTTTTCCATCAAAAAGCTAAAAGAAACCATAAAACGTCAAATATTTACTTTTTAATGACCCAGATAAGTTAACTGTTTTATTTCACACAAGCACAATATTTGACAAATTGTCGTAGTATATTTATAAGGAAACGTATTATCAAATAATTTTCAGTTTAACTGGAGCAAATTCCAATCTCAAATTTCTCTGTAACCTTCGGATCATTGTTAGTGTTATGGGATAATGCAAAGCGGTTCAAATGTCAGTTAATATTTCTGTTGTCGGATACATTAGTGAAAATATGAATTGTAAACTGTGGTTTTTTTGTCAGTTAATCATCGGAAAAACTAAATTCAAACTAATCAAATTTAACTATAACGTAAACTGTATCGTGTGTACCATCAATTTTGTAGAGTTCTAACCTCGGCTATCGTATAGGCTTACTGATATTTTTTAAAAATTCAATGCAAGTTTTCTAAAATTTTAAAATATTTTATGAATAATTTTCCAGATATAATTAATTATTTAATAGTAATTAAAGAATAACTAACTAGTTATCATTTTCATCTGTTTCGTCTCTTCTTACCGTTCTCCAGGCATGAAAGAACCTTTTTAATCACACCCATTGTGGATTGGTTAAGCCACAGGACCAGGTTGGGTTCGGACCCCGATATTTACAGAATTATGAAAAATTCCTAAAGTTTCTGACCTCAGAAACTAAAATTACAATGTTTTAAATGTTTTGTGTATTGGTTTATGCGCTGTTATGACCTAAGCAAGCGGTTTTGTGATCAGGAGTAAACGTTTTTCTTCTTTTTATTCTGCATTATGATAATTAATAGTTGTTTTGAAATAACTAGATTTTTGTAATAGTTTAAAATTTACTTCAAATAAATTATTATTATTATTTTTTTAATTTTTAGGAATGCTGAATACCGCAGGCTTGTACAGTTCTAAGGGCAGAAGAGCATCGAAAGATTCCGACACCGTAGTACTTATGAAAAAAGCTGGAGGAATTCCGCTGGCTGTTACCAACGTGCCAGAGTTAACTATGTGGTGGGAAACATACAATAATGTGTACGGCAAATCTAGAAATCCGTACGATCCTAGAAGAATTGTCGGTGGAAGCAGCGGTAAGAATATTCACCGATTTGTAGTAAATTCTTTATTACATTTGTGTTAAAGTAATTCGAAACTGTTACATTTAGGAGGAGAAGGAGCTCTTTTAGGTGCTGGTGGTTCAGTAATTGGCATTGGTTCGGATGTAGGAGGTAGTATTCGTATACCATCGTTTGTGAATGGCATATTTGGTCTTAAGCCAAGCAAAGGTAAGAATAGTTCTTATAGTTAAAAAATACGCATTAAGATTATATTTATATTTTTTTTTATAAACATTTATTAATATATTTTTATTATTAGGTATCGTTTCTAACATAGGACAAGTACCGGACAACGGTCATCTATATGATGATTTTCTCTCAACGGGACCAATGTGTCGTTACGCTACGGATTTGTTACCTATGTTAAAAGTATTGGCCGACAAAAATGTATCCAAACTTAGACTAGATAGGAAGGTTAGTTACGTTTTTAAAAGACAATAATCAAATAATTTATCAGTCATGGACCATAACACTATATACCCATTTTTATGGTTCCGACTCACTTTTCCAGAAGCTGTTTTCCATAGTCTTAGTACTGTACTGTAAATAAAGGTTTTACTTCTAAAACGAATTTCAAGTATATAACATCACACATTTGAAAAAAAAGCATATATTATATTCATACTTATTATTTGTTTTAAAACATTTTAAAGTTCAAAAGCCAATGAAGACAAAGTTCTTTGCCAGTAAGAATTGTCCTTTTTCATACCACAGGAACACAAAATCATTTCTCGACCTTTCAAGGTCCCCTTTGAAAAATGTAAAAATATTGGTGGGGGTCATTTTTTGATGATCGTTACACTTTTTCTCTGTTATATATGTAGTAGCCAGCCAGGAAAGTAAAATTGTTAAGTCATGTGTCATCAGTTAGAGTTTAAAAATTATAGTTTGTATAGCAAAAAAACTAAAATAAAAAAGTTACTAAAGTATATTCATAATTAAAAGGAAATAATTAAATAAAAAAGGAAAAATTTTTCATTTAAATATTAAATTCAGTCTTCATAAAAATCATCTTTTATACAATAGATTCGGGACAATTTCGAGACAATTTCGGGAATTTAGTCAGACAATATGGCGACTCAATACGTGCGGTAAACTGATGTGATGAGAGTTGTGACAGAAACTGTTGTATATATGCGAGATATGTATAAATATTGGAGCTGGAATCGAGAAAAAGGAACGAAAACTAATCTTTATGTAACAAGGAATTATAATTATAAAAAAAA